TTGATCTAGTCTATTTGTAATATTCTCGTTTGAGTTCTTAATTTGGTTTATAGTTTCCTGCATTTCTAAGATTACTGTTTGATTTTTTTAAAGATCTCTATCTCCTCGTAAAGCTCATTCTTTGCCATTTGAATTTGTTTGTTTAATTCATTTTCAAAATATACTTTTATTGCTTGGACTTGCTGTCTCATGTCTTCTCTAATATTCCTTTCCATCTGAGTTAGGTATGCCTTGAGTTCTTTCCCTATCCTGTTTCTGATGCTTCTAGGTCCTCCTGTAGAATTAAGTTGTCCTGCATTGTTTGTACTCCTTTTTTCTCTTGTTTTTTCATGATGTTAATGCTACTTTCCAGCTCTATTTGATTGCTGTGTTTCTGCTCTCTTCTATAAATTTGTTTTGGTTTTTTATATCTCTGTTGTCTCTCCTTTGTGTTGGTAGACTATGCTTGCTAAAGTRGATTCCACTGGGAAGGAATTCCGACGGCCGAGCTCCAGTGACGTCACCTCTCTGCTATTGCGGGCCCCAGGCTCCTTACTGGGGTGTCCGAATGGAGGGGTGGGACTGGACTGTCTCTGGTTGGTTTCAGCTCCCGGACTCCGGCGGCCGGGCGGTCTCCAGCCGCCCAGTCGCGCTGGCAGCCAGTGGGCAATTCGTCGCAGGCGGGCCTGCGGTCTCCAGCTGCCCAGTTGCAGTGGCAATGGGCCGGCTGTCGCTGGTGGGCAGGCGATCTCTAGCCGCCTAGTCGTGCGGTCGGCCGCCCTCGGGCATGCGGTCTCCAGCCGCTCAGTCGCAGGGGCAATGGGCCCGGCTGTCACTGGTGGGCGGGAGATCTCTAGCCACCCAGTCGCAGGGGCAATGGACTGGCTGTCACAGGCGGGCGGGCGGTCCCCAGCTGCCCAGTCACGCGGGCAGCCGGCGGGCGATTGGTCGCCGTGGGGTGTGCGGTTTCCAGCTGCTCAGTCGCAGGGGCAATGGGCCGGCTGTCGCTGGTGTGTGGGCAATCTCTAGCTGCCCAGTCTTGCGGTCTGTCGCACAGTTGGCTCGTGTATGAGACTCAATTACCAGACCTCGGTGCTGGAAATCCTTCCTCTGGGTTTCAGTGCACCCCCATTTTGCTGTAAGTTCCTAACAAGATAGTTTTTTGTCGTTCTAACTCGTTATTCACCTGCGCAGTGGCGCGGTACATGGGGTGTGATGCACTCTATTCACGGCCATCTTGGGGATCCAGTAAAAATTTTGATTCTTGTTAAGTTACTGAAGCCGACCTTGAACTTGCAATCCTCCTGCCTCAGCCTCCTGAGTTGCTGGGATTATAGGCATGTGCCACCATGCTAAATATGACTTTTTTATTTGTTTTAATTAGTTATACATGACAGAAGAATGCATTTTGACACATCTTACATAAATGGAATATAGCTAAATATGATTTTAATTGAACCTGTTCAGTATAATTCTGTGTTTTCTGTTTTCTAATTTTCTGTTTACTATCCATGCTTGTCGGCTTTTCTTTCAAAGTGTATTCGGAATCCAACTATTTTTCAACCTTTTCAATAATATGATTGTATTCTAAGATTCCAGTTCACCATTATCTTTTGTCTTTTTTGTTCATTTATTTTATATTGATACAGTTCATTTCCAGCATCCAGAAGACTCACTTATGCTCTCTCTTAGTCAAAACCTTACCCACTCAACACCCCCAAAGGTATTCACTGTTCTATCATCTAGATTAGTTTTTCTATTTTCAAAGTTAATATAAAGGGAATCATATATTCTGGTTTTCTTTGTCTAACATTTTTTTGAAATGAGATTTATCAATTTTGCTGCACAATAATTCTTTTTATTTCTGTGTATAGTATTTTCCCCCCTACAAATATGCCACATTTTAAAAATCTATTCTTCTGTTGGCAGTTAGACTGTTTCCATTTTTGCCTTTCTATGAAAGATGCTGTGGTACATATTCTAGTGCATATCATTTGGTGGTCATACTCATTTATCTTGGACATAGACCTAGGTGTGGAATTGTTAGGTCATGGGATATACACGAAGCAATTTTTCAAAGTTATTTAGGTTCACAACAACAATGTTGAATTTTAGTTGCTTCATATCTTTACCATTGTCTGGTATTGTCAGTCCTTTTGATTTTGGCAATTTGAGTAGAGGTGTAATAATGATGGTTTTAATTTGCATTTCTCTGAAAATAATGTTTAGCAAATTTTCATATGTTTATTATCCATTTTTATATCCATCTTTGTGGAGTGCCTCTTGAGAGCCATTTTTAAAATTAGGCTGTCAATCTTTCTATTACTCATTTTTACATATGCTAGATATTATTTTTCTCACATATTTTTTTCTACTCCCTGAATTGTCCTTTTCAGTTTTAGTTTTGTCTTTTGATGAATGGAGATTTTTTTCCTTCTTTTTTCCCCCCATGGTGCTAAGGATGATAAAACACAGGGCCTCAGACTTGCTAGGCAAGTGCTCTACCACTGAACCCCAGCCCAGAAATGTTTTCTTTCAATGAAGTTATATGCCATTTTTTTCCTTTATAATTAATTCTTTTGTACCCTATTTAATTAATTCTTTGCCTAACCCAAGTTTTGATGATTTTCCCCTTGTGTTATTCTAGATGTTTGGTGTTTTTGTTTTCATGTTAATTTTATTATCTAGTGTGAGTTAGGGGTCAAGTCTCACTGTTTTCCATATGGATAAGACTTACTACAGTTAACATTGATTTCTGCATAAACTTCACTATACTTGGAGTTCATATTCTGCATCTTTTACCCATCTGCTATAATCAACTGGTTCCTTAATTCTACTCTTGCCCCACTCACAGGATAGTCAGAGCAGTTCCATGTCACTCCCCATTCAGGGACTCCCCTTCATACCTAGAATAAGTTCAATTCATTTTCATGTCTGCAGAGTCCTACTCAGTCTTCTTGCTGCTCCTTCTCTAACCTAATCTCTCTCTACTCTCCCTTTTGCTCACTCAGTTTACTGACTCCTTCCCATTCCTCAGACACACTAGCATATTCCTATTTCAGAATCTTTACCCTTGTTACACTCTATAGTTGGAAGGTTCCTTCCTCAGATCTTTGTAGACTTCTGCCTTTGCCTCATTTGGGAGCTCTGTGTAAATGTCATCTCCTTGAAGAGGACTTTTGGTCCACCTCAGTTTCCTTACCCCTACACTTTTCACTGTCTGATGTTAACTGTGTATTTGTTTGTCAACTTTCTGTCTCTCTAGGAAAAAATCTCCATGAGCTTGGAAACTGCTTTTTCATTGTTCTATTGCGAAGGCTTAGAACAGTGCATAACTTGTAGTAAGTGCTCAATAACTTTTATGAAATGAATTAGATATTCCTTATCTCAAAAAATCTCAATTTAAGGATAAGAGTAAAATTAAGAACCACTCTAACACAGAAATCTACAAAATCTTTTAGAAACTGGGGAGGGCTCTACTTGAGTAGGGCATGGTCAGAGAAGGCCTCAGTATGGAGGCAACCCTGGATTGGGGGCTGAAAATTTAGTGTTATGTATGCTTAACCAAGAATAATAGAGAGCTTAATATGTAGAACTATTGGAACACAAAGATGGGTGACAGGAAATGACATCAAACATAATGGGGCTGGGGCAAGACAGGGGCAAAGACACAAAAGCCTTTGAAAATCATGATAAAGAATTTAAACTTCTCAAAAGTATTAAGGAGCAAAGGATTTTAAGGTAAAGACATATGCTGTCAGATTATATTTCCATGTGTTTCACTGGTCCTTGCTACAATAATCATATTAAAACTTCAAGTTGATTGAGTAGACTTGGTCATCAGTACTCAGTTTCAAAACAAAGTCCTTATCCCATCTCACTGCATCACCTGGCGAAGCCATCATTTTCTCTTCTGAGCCTTGTATCTTCATTCTCAGCAAGAAAAGATTGTGCATTCCTTAGAGCCATTCTAACCTCAACTTGGACTTAGGTCACAATGCTTCTCTAAGATACCTGGGGAGAAATTTTTAATATTTTTGCTGCTAGAAATAATTTAAAACCTTCAATTCTAGCCAAGTAAAATTCAGTTTTCTTCTGAATTTTTTTAAACTTTTGGGTCAAATGACAGGAAACTAGTTCCTTAGTGCAAAACTACTTGAGCAAAAGTGCAAATTCTTTTTTCCTTGTCTGGGATGGGAATGCAGGCAAAGGAGGGCGTGATAGAATGAGTCTTTTTCTTGCAGTTGTGATTCCAAAGAATCCCTTCCCTGCGTCTGATGTGAACACTGAGAAGCCCAGCATCCACAGCAGCACCAAAACTGTCTTGGAGCATCAACCAGGGCAGAGGGGGCGTAAACCAGGAAAGAAGCGGGGTCGAACACCCAAGACCCTTATTTCCCATCCCATCTCTACCCCATCCAAGTCAGCTGAATCTTTGAAATTCCCAAAGAAGAGGGGTCCCAAACCTGGCAGTAAGGTAGGTAAAAATGTGGGGTTCCCAGAAAGGGGTAAGGGGCTATAAAGGGGTAATTCATTCATACCAGTTTATCTCGGAAAGCAGCAGATCTGTTCCTATTCCCCACCTAATGTATGACTTTAAGAGGAATATCCCAAACTGTCATCTCTACTTAGCTTTTTACCTGGGAGTTGATACTATTAGAGATAGAATAGTGGAGACAAATTTTAACGTTGATGAAAGTTACTCACATAAGTGGGGGGATTCTATCTAGTCTTTCATAGGAGGAAGGCTCTGCTCCTTGTTAACTTTCCCAATGTAGATTCCCAGCATGTGAACAGAAAGAGAAAATTATTCTGTAAATATTTCTTTTGCTATCACTCCCCCTTCTGTAAAAAATTAATATTAGATACCTACTTAGTGTCAGGTTCTGAATTAGACACCATTATCTCACATCATRTAATCTTCACAAAACTCTGGAGCTTGTGTTAATGTTATTTTATTATTAAGTAAGTTGAGACTTATGTACATGAAGTGATTTTCCTAGGTCCTAAGCAAGTACATAGCAGAGACTGTATTGATTGATACCCAAATCTTCAAATTCCAAGGTCACCACTGCCCTATCATGTATTTACTCTCTACATTTCCTAAGGGACTTAACACCTCTAGTGTTGGAAAAAGTTACTAAATCAAGCTCCTCTGAGTACTATTATTGAAAGTACTAACTCTTAGACATGCCAGTTCTTTATGGATATCTTCCCTAGGGAAAGCATTGATGTGAAGAGGAGGCTCTTTGGCAGCTTCTCTAGGGCCCCTCTACCATCCCCTCCTCATTACTTCCTATCAGTGGATTTCTCAGACTCTCCTTCCTCAACTAGAATATCTGAGTTCCAATGTGGAAATGATGCCCAGTTCCTCCTGGGCAATCCATTTCAGTCTCATATTCTTCCCTAGGGCTAGTTAGTTGTTTTATTTGTTTAGTAGATTAGTAGCTCCAACTAACTTCAGTCCTTATAGAATATAAGCTCCTCAAAGTCCTCAATAACCTAATCTTTTTCTTTTCTTTTTCTTCTGCAGTGCCTTGTATCTCAGTCTCTTGGGAGATGTTCAGTATGTGCAGAATGGATGGATAGATGGATGGTTGGATGGATGGATCAATGGATGGATGGATAATTTAAAATGATGATGTTACCAATCTCAGTTGTCTCCTACTAATTGGCTTTAAACACTCAATGTCACTTCCTAATCTTCCTATATAACATATGATATATCTGACCTATTACCACTAACCCCTAACCCAGGTCCTGATTTATTTTTATCTCTATTATATTCTTCTTTCTCATGTTGTGGAGAAAAGGCTGAAGGCCCTAGGGATGCCAAAGTCAGAGGAGCCATAGTTTTGATGATGTGAACACATTGTAAAGATTGTCAAAGAGGAAGAAAACTATCTGTGGGACTCCAAAGACTGAAACAATAAGCAGAAACTTAAGCAGAAGTTCTTTGTCTCAACAATAAAAGGAACAGTTAATTATATCCCAAAATGGGTCTAGAGGTATTTTGCTAGAGACTGGTGACTTTATGAGAGGAATGTTTTCAGGAGAGGGAATAGAAGTATTGGATGGATGGTTGACCATTAAGATACTTCAGAACCTAACCATTATGCTCTGCTCCCTCATGTAATCTTAAACATAGTGGCCAAAGTCTTCTTTCTTTCCATCCTTCTTGAAAGCAATCATTCTCATCACATTTGTATTTTATGGCCTGGCTTATGACTCCCTCATTCCCCTTCTATTCTTTTACCTACTTCTATAAGAGTATATACCACCCATTTTACCTATGAGCATAACATTCCTTTTTGAAGCAAAAAGGAAGGCTTTTAAGCCAGTCAGACTTAGGTTCAGATGTCACCTCCATTTGTGGCTACCTGTGTGACTCTGGGAAAGTGTCTTTGAGTAAGGCTCTGGGCCCCAGTTTTATCACCTGTATAATAGAGATGATGTAATATGTGACAAGATAAAATACATGGAAATGCACCTATCTGAAATAGGAATCATCTTTCTGCTTTCTTCTACAATATCCAGGCACATAACTTGCTCCTTTAGGGACCCCACAAAATTCTACCAACTCATTGAAGTTTCCCTTCATTCCTGACTCATTGGTTATTTGGATTTTCACTTTTAGAGATATTGGGAAATATGAGCAGACGTCCATTTCTGTTAAGGGTTTGCATAAGGGCTTTTCCAGGCAAGACCATTGTATGCATGCCTACTGCCATCAGCATACTCTCTTCAGAGAGTGTACTCCTAGCAAGCAGACAGGTTTATAAAATTCACAGTAGTTGACCCTTAATGGGACATTTAGTAAAAGGGGATTTCTGGATCTTGGTAATGTTTGTGTTTGCATTACATTAGATACGCTTTTAGAAAACTATTTCTTGGAACACCCTGACATCTTTATCCTCCAGAGATTTCCCTGAGCAGCTTAAAGAAAATATATTTCTCTCAAATCCTCTTTATTACTTCCCCTTTGTTGGTGCTCTGCACTGTGGGATCTGACATAACTTTCCTGTGTACACATATGAATACCCCACAGTGAATCTCAACATTATGTACATCCACAAAATTGGGGTCCTAATTAGGATAAGATGTATTCCATGATTTATAAATATATCATAGTAGATTCTACTGTCATATTCAACTAAAAAGAACGAATAGAAATTTTTTTTAATTTTAAAAATTTTTTAAAAAACGTTTAATATATGTCAAGCACCATGCTAGAAATGATACTCAGAATCAGACCCTCAAGCAGCTCCAGGAGGCAGTATGCAAACATATAATGACAATGACAGTGTTATTTATGTAAATTTCAATACATTGACAAATGCAACAATACAAAGTACAGAGAAAAAAAAAAGGTAGTAGTTAGAGGAAAACTTCCTAAATGAACCAAAATTTGTAAGGTAAATAAAAGAATAAAGGCTACTTCAGGAAGAAGAGACAACTAAATATTGAAGGTGTGGGCTAGGTACACCTTCAGGGTTTTTAGAGAAGTGTTATGATTAGGAATTGCTAGAATAGGATGTGTGAGGGAAAAGGTAGGAGAGAATAGTGGTTTGTAGAGTTAGAGGTGTCATTTTTATTTTTAAAAACAGAAAGTAACAAATGATGTCAGTAGAGACTTAAGCCATAGTACGCTTTTTTCTTTTTGCTTTTAGCTGCCCAATATCTAAAGAATCTGGGATTTCATATGATAGTATTGAAGCTAGTATAAACATGCATTAAAATCTAGTTCTGCAGCTAGGCATAGTGGCACATGCCTATAATCCTAGCGGCTTAGGAAGCTGAGGCAGGAGAATCACAAGCTCAAAGCCAGCCTCAGCAAAAGTGAGGTGCTAAGCAACTCAGTGAGACCCTGTCTCTAAATAAAAATACAAAATAGGGCTGGGGATGTGGATCTGTGATCAGGTGCCCCTGAGTTCAATCCTCAGTACCAAAAAAAAAAAAATCTAGCTCTGCAAAACACAAAATCTTATGCATAGATACAGAAAATGTTTACTAAGCATCTATTATATGTACAGCTTTGGGCTAGATGCTGAGTGGAAAACAAAGAAAATGAAGTTCCAGCTACAAATATATTTTTGTATTATGGGTGAATTAAGTGCCAGGAGTGGAGGAAGAGAAGACAAGTTACCTATCATGGGTAGCAAACTTTTCCCCATCCATTTTGACAGAGGAAACCTCGGACTTTGCTGAGCCCACCACCCACCTCACCAACAACCAGCACCCCTGAACCGGATACCAGCACTGTTCCCCAAGATGCTGCCACCATCCCCAGCTCAGCCATGCAGGCCCCCACAGGTAAGAACAGAGGACGGGACTAGCTTTAACAAGCCTTTGGCCCCAGCATCTGCACTTCCTCTTATCTTCCACCAATAGCTAGCCCCCTCTCTTTTCTAAACCTAGGTAGAATCTTTTTTAAGCGTTTTAAATTTGGCATTTGGAATAGTCTCAGAGAAACTTCATTCTGTCAGAATTATCAAGGAATCTTAGGTGAGTGTTCTGTGAACTTAAGGTTGGAGAACTTGAGCCAATTAGGGGAGATGGTGGGAAGTACCTAGAGGTCCCTGACCTAGTTTAAAAATAATACTAACCTACAGATCTGGGAGCTTCCACTTTGTAGTGATCCCTTTCATCTTCCAGAATCCTCCTAACATTCTAGTAATGCTGCAACCACTCAAATTTGTATGAAATTTTTCTGATTTTTTAAAACAATCTTGATGATGGTCAACTGTAGTAAAATGTGAGTGAACTTGATTTGGGAGGCCAGTCAATGCATGTTTCTTTCAAAACAAAATCTGATGGCTGAAGAGGATGGGTAATATGGCTTATATATATCTGTTCCCATTTTATAAACTAGGAGTTATGCATGTCTGCTCCCATTTTATAAACTATATATTTTATAAACTATCTAAAAGAACTATACCTTTAAAATAGATTCAGTTTCCCAGTGAATTAGCTATAAAGAATAGAACTCATTTTTATGTGCAAATTAGAAGGGGTGTGTGTGAGTGTGTGTGTGTGTAATCTTGCTCTACAAATACTTTATCTTCTTTAGAGATATTTAAGTAATTAGAGAGATCCCCATGGAAGCTGTGGAAGTTAGAGTGGTCTTTCTCTTAGAAAGAGTTGAGTTTCCAAAATCCTAAAATTTAAGAGCTTAAAGAGAAGGGCCATCCACAATTTCCTCTCCAAATAACCTGTAGAAGCTGACAGAGCCTGCCAGTAGCATGTATGTTCACCTGTGTTCAGCACCTTATCACATGATTTCTCCAAATGTCATCTGCATCTATATCCAGCCAGTTACTGGGTTTTCTTAGTCCCTAAACTCCATGTATGATGAAGTAAGGACAAATAAGGACATTGGTAATAATATTGATTATATTTTCCAACTTCCTGACATGCCCCCTAGATACCCGTATACTTGCTTGGTCTAGCCCACCTTGTTTTAGATTCCAAGTGGGTGTCAAAGTGCCTTTTCAGTAGTATCTAGAAGACCCACAACAGCAAGAGCTTCATGACTATAATGCATACCATCTCTTGCACTCACTGGGTTAGCATCCCTCCCTTGGCCTAAAACTCGTGGCCCAGGGAAATTTAAATACGCATTTAAATTTCTTTCATGAGAATTTACCATGTGTGTCTGTATCCTGTTCATGTCAGGCTATAACAACCATTTCTGATCACTGTGTCACAATCTCTCGATTGGACCTTGGCTCACTCTGTGTGAGCCCCAATTCATACATCTATGCTTAGAATTAGCCCAGGCTACTTTTGTTGTCCCTTAATGATAACATAAAAGATATCACAGATTTAATGTTGTGTACCACAGTATATCCTTTAATACCTTCCTCTCATTCTTCTTAACTCTGGCCCTGCACAGACAATGAGAACGGAGTTCTCCTCAGTGGAATGGGCTGGCTAAGAAATAAAAGCTAAGAAAAATAGAACAATGAAAAAACCATAGGACACTGAAAATATTTTCAGAAAGCAGGGACAGGACAGGCTAGCCGATCATACAGACCAAGCTTCTACACTCTGGCAAAATGGAGCCCAAGCTTGCTTTATTTATATCAGGGGACATCAAAGGCAGGGATAAGGTTTCAAGGGCGGAGTCTTGCTTCCTGGTATCTTGAAGTCAGCAGGTTGATTGACATCTTGGCAGGTCACACCCATCTCAGGTGCTGTGTGGGATCTCTGGCAGAGCTTGAGGGGGAAGTTCACCTGCATCAGGCTATCAGTCCCTGTAAGAGTGCCACAGGAGGTTCCCAATGCCAGACTTACGCCCTCATTAGGCTACTATGCACAACATAGTCCACACACGGCCCATGGACTGTTTGTGACACTTAACTGAACAACACTTGTGAAAATTTTTTTATTTTTCGTTTTATGTTTTCTCTGCACCTATTGATTTGATCTCAGAATTTTTCTTTTTTTTTTTTTTTAAAGAGAGAGTGACAGAGGGGAGGGAGGGAGAGAGAGAGAGAGAGAGAGAGAATTTTTTTTAATATTTAATTTTTAGTTCTCGGCGGACACAACATCTTTGTTGGTATGTGGTGCTGAGGATCGAACCCGGGCCGCACGCATGCCAGGCGAGCGCGCTACCGCTTGAGCCACATCCCCAGCCCCTCAGAATTTTTCTTGTTGAACTTGTGAAGGTGATGGACTACATTAATTGATTTTTCAATGTTGTACCATTCTTTGGAAGTTATAATTATTCCCACTTGGTGGTGTTGGTGTATAATTCTGTTTATACATTCATAGATTTAATTTGCTATTTTTTGAGAATTCGTTTTTCTTTATTCATAAGTGGTGTTTGTGGGGTTTTTTTTTGGGGGGGGGCAGTGGGTAGGGGGTGCTAGGGATTGAACCCATGGCCTTGTACATGTAAAGCAAAGCACTCTACCAACTGAGCTATTACCCATCCCCCAATTTTTTTATTTTTATCAATTTTTATCTTAGATTCATACTTTTATATGAAACTTTATTCTCTCTGCAGCCTCTCATCTTTCCCTTTCCCTCTACTCCACCCCAGGATTCTGACATTTCACCTTAGAGGCATCCTACACACACATTTGGTAAAATTTTCTTAAATTCTTTATTTACACATTTTAGCGTACCTGGTGTTCAGATGTTGGACCACTTAAACCCGTCCTCTAATATTCACACCCCTCTTAATTCTTTTTTTTTTATTGCTTTTAGTTGTAGATGGACACAATACCTTTATTTTTGTTTATTGAGTTTTATGTGGTGCTGGGAATTGAACCCAGTGCCTTACTCGTGCTAAGCAAGTACTCTACCTCTGAGCTACAACCACAGCCCACTCCTTCTTTATTGTTATCCCTATTCTGTTTGTCTTTTCATTCACAATTCTACAAGCCTTCCTCAACTATATTTTCCAAGCTTTGTACTGAGTTTCTCATTTCTGCCATCTTACTTTTTAAATTATAATTATTTAGCACTCCAGTGACATTTTCCAAAATGTGTTTGGTGGGAATACCAGTCCTGCAAAATACTCTGCATTAAAGGAATTTACATACATTTAGGGAATTTAGTCATATACATTTAAGAAATGCTTTTACTCTACTTCTTCACATTTGGAAATTTGTATCTGCTGTCAAGAGCTCTTTTTTGTTCTCTGAATTTTTTTAATAGACTTTATTTTTTAGGGCACTTTTAAGTTCACAGCAAAACTGAATGAAAGATACATAAATTTCTTATATCCCCTGTCCCCACACATGTAGCACCTCCCTTATATTCAGCAACCCCTACTGGAGTGCTTCATTTGTTATAATTGATTCACTTGCCTGACACATTATTGTCACCCAAAGTCCATGGTTCACATTAGGGTTCTCTCTTGATGTTTTACATTCTAGGCATTTTGAGAAATATATAATGACATGTATCAACTATTTACAGTATCATACAAAAGAGTTTCACTCTTTTAAAATTTCACTCCTTAAAAATCCTTTGTGTTCTTCCTACTCATCCATTTCTCTTCCCTAATCCTGACAACCAGTGATATCTTTTCTGTCTCCACAGTTTTGCCTTTTCTAGAATATTATATAGTTGGAATTATACCATATGTAGCCTTTTCAGATTTATTTCTTTTTGCTTAGTAATATGCATTTGAATTTCTTTCAAATCTTTTCGTGGACTTGATTGCTCATTTTTTTTTAACATTGAATAATATTCTATTGTCTGGATGTACCACAGTTTATATATTCATTCACCCACTGAAAGACATCTTGGTTGCTTATAAGTTTTGGCAGTTATGAATAAAGCTGCTATAAATATCCATGTGCCATGACTGTGTGTACACATAAGCTTTCAGTTCTTTGGGGTAAATGCCAAGGACAGCAACTACTGAATTAGTAATAATATGTTTAGTTTTGTAAGAAATTATCAAACAGTCTTCCATTGTAGCTGTAAATTTCACCTTCCCTCCAGCAGTGAATGATAGTTTCTATTGCTCACCATTCTCATCAGCATTTGGTATTGTTTATGTTCTGTACTTTGGCCATTTTAATAAGTATGTGGTGAGATCTTGCAGTTGTTTTAATTTGAATTTCCCTAATGACATGATGTTGAATTATCTGCCATCTGTATATCTTCTTTGATGAGGTATCTGTTAATGTCTTTAGTTCACTTTGCAATCATTTTAACAATTAGAAAACAATTCTTAATTTGTTTTTGAGTTTTGAGAGTTCTTTATATATTTTGGATAATTCTTTATCATATGTCTTTGAAAAATATTTTATTCCAGGATGAAAGATATTTTCTTCTTATGATAGTGCCTTTCTCATAGAGTTTTTCATGAAATCCATCTTATTAATTATTCTTCTGAAGATCATGCTTTGGGTGTTGTATCTAATCATCATCATCATCTAATCATCTAGGAATTTTGAAATTTTGCATTTTATATTTAAGTCTATTATCCATTTTGAGTTGATATTTTTAAGAGTAAGGTTTTGTCTAGCTATGTTTTTCAGAGTGAGAGGGTTGCTTGTTTGTTTTTCTTTTGGCATGTCGATGTCTGGGTGCTCCAGCACCATTTGTTGAAAAAAAATACTGTTTTAGGCAGCTTTTTCACTGCTGTGACTTAAAGATCCAACCAGAACAACTGAAGAGGATGAAAAGCTTTTTGGGGGGCTCACAGATTCAAAGGTCTCAATCCATAGACAGCAGGCACCATTCCTCGGGGCTCAAGGTGAGGCTAAACATCATGATAGAAGAGAGTGGCAGAGGGAAGAGGCTCACATGATTATCAGAAAGCAAAGAGAGAGAGAGAGATCTCTACT